GAAATCGCAATCCTCCTGCCTCAGCCTCCTGAGCTGCTGGGTTTACAGGCGTGAGACACGGGGCCTAGCTGTATTCATTCTTAAAAACACCTCTGCTCTTTTTTCTTTCTTTCTTTCTTTCTTTCTTTTTGATACTGGAGATTGAACCCAGAGGCACTTTTACCACTGAGCCATATCTCCCCAGCCCTTTTTATTTTTTGAGAAGGATCTCACAAAGTTGTTGAAGCTGGCCTAGAACTTGTGATCCTCCTGCCTCAACCTCCAGAGTCCTTGAAATTATAGGCCTGTGCCATTKTGCCCAGCTCTACCTCTTATTTCTTTAGGTTGGATAATTCAAACACCCAAAATGAGACTTGTACGCTGGAATTCAGGACTTAGAGCCATGATGAAAACTGTGACCAACCAAACCAGGGTTTGGTTTTTCAAGGATTATAATCAATGGTCATTCTTTTTACCCCACTCCACCCCCTTTTTTKGGGCAGTACTAGGGTTTGCACCCAGGGGCATTTAACCACTAAGCCACATCCCAGTCCTTTTTTTTTTTTTAATTTTTATTTTTTTCATTTATTTATTTTTTCCAGTCCTCTTTTTAATTTTGAGACAGGGTCTCGTTAAGTTGTTGAGGCTTGCTTTGATCTTGCAATCCTTCTGCCTCAGCCTCCCAAAGAGCTGGGATTACAGGCATGCACAGCCACATTTGGCTTAAATGGTCATTCTTTATTCAGTTACACAGGAGACTTGTGCAAATGTCACTAGATGACAGGCAGAAATACCATTATTTTATTTTTTCTTTCAGCATCTCTGGAACCACTCCCCTCCTAGCTCACACCCTTATTACTGCAATATTCCAGGCTCAGAGCTTTGAGCCTCCCTTTCTGCAATGCATTATGCACAGAGGACACTTTCATAAACAGCTAAATTCCTGAGGCTTCTTAAGGACCAAACCAAACTCTTACTGGATTTTTACCTGGCTCCGATTCTATCTTCTTTTCTAATATTCACCATTTAGACCCTTATTCTGTCCTCTCCATCTCAATCACAACATGCAACTTCCCCTACACGACTCCCTGCTTGCTGAATGTCCCTTGTTCTCTTAACCCCCATACTTTTCATCTCCCAAGGTAGAGTTTGAATCCCAACCCTTGCACACATCTTCATTTGATGTCAGCTCTTACTAATTTCTTCCTTTCCTGAATTACTCTAGCAATTAGTGTGCAACTCAACTCCAGCATTCCACCAAACACAGGTTCACTACTGAGAATTAATAGTTGTGTGATCTTGGACAGATCATTTAACCTCTATGAAGCATAATTTCTTCATCTATAAAATAATAAAGAGTTTAAGTTACAAGATTTTAAAAGATCTTTCCTGTTCTACAAATCCTGAAAGTTAATATACTACCTGGTACTGTTTCATGTATTAATCTTACTCATTGGGGCTGGGGATGTGGCTCAAGTGGTAGCGCGCTCGCCTGGCATGCGTGCGGCCCAGGTTCGATCCTCAGCACCACATACCAACAAAGATGTTGTGTCCGCCGAAAACTACAAAATAAATATTAATCTTACTCATTTCTCTTATAAGAATTTAGAACTGCTGAAGGGAGAAAGGACATCTTAATTTCTTCCCCAACTCTCAAAGCAACTACTCCCAGGATCTAGCTCAAGGAGGTACTCGGTAAGTATGACACTGAAATAGGCCAAGCAGCACCTGCAAAGAGCCCAAAGTGAACATGGGACCTATTTCTCGAGTAGTTCAGGAAGCTAGTAAGGGTAGTGAGTGACAGCAGGAGAAGGCGTGTAGATTATCAGAGCAGGACTGGATCTCATCCAGAGCTGAAGAAAGTAAGCAGCTAGCTCTAGGCTGGAATGAGCACAAGTCTGAAAGCTTAAAATGCCTTCTGATTCCTATGCAGCACTGTTTGAAGCAGGTAACATATGCCCCTACACAGCAACTGTAACTTTGAGTTCAATTCAGGCAGTTTCATGTGACCTAGTGAAGACTACTCAGGGTTTTTTGTTTTGTTGTGTCGTTTTGGTGCTTGGGATTGAACTCAGGGCCTTGTAGAATGCTAGGCAAGCATTCTACCACTGAGCTACATCCCCAGCCCCTTACTCAGGGGTCTTGTCAGCAAAGAACCTCAGAGACTATCACAAGCCTGCACTACTATAATGGAGAAACTTAAGTGCATCTCAGCCTTGCAAGGCCTCAAGCAAGAAAAGAGCAAGTGCTTCCATTTTTAAGGCCCATTGCCCTTCCCTTCCCAAGAAATGCAAGCTTATATAAAAGGGACAACACAGATATATTAAAGCATTCAGTTCTGATTTAGGCTTCCAGTAAAATGCTTTTAAAAAATATTTTTTAGTTATACATGGACACAATATCTTTATTTTATGTGGTGCTGAGAATCAAACCCAGTGCCTCACATGTGTGAGGCAAGCACTCTGACACTGGGCTACAACCCCAGCCCTCCAGTAAAATGTTTTTATTTCTTTCTTTTCTCAGGGCAGCAGGTCAATGTACATATATAAAGCAAAGAAGGAATCTGTTGATAGGAATCCTTCCTAACTAAAAGTTAACCAAGAACTTCAAGATAGCGAGAAGATGTAATCTTTAACTCTAATCAGAGGCACAGGGCAAAGCCCCCATCTATTTCATTATACTGAAATGAACTACATTCAATTCATATGTACATGTCTTCTTTGTCAAGGAGGGCAGATATAGCCCTATTTCAATCCAAGTTAAACTGGTCAGTGCTGTTCTAGCCACTTTGAAACATGTTTTGGTTCACAACTAACATCCTAAAAAGAGTTTTCAAATGATATCAAAGCCAGTCAAATGAAGCCAGTTTACTCCTTAAAGAATCAAATGAGGAAAACTGTTGTTTTGTTGCTTCACTAACCTCACTTATGACAAAGCACATCCCTCCTCTTCACTCAGCTGTTTCAATTATGAGACAAAGGACAACTACTATATGGACACCTTTTTTTTTTTTTTTGAGTAAAGTCACAAGATTATTAAGAAACAGCTAATGGCCACTGTTCAAAATCATAATGGCATTATGATTTCATATCTCAGTTATCTACCAAATTGGAAAGAATCAAGTATATGTATTTTAGTAAATGTAAGCCCTCTGAATCACTTTCTTCTCCATCATAAAAGTTTGGCCAGGTGCAATGGCCACATCTGAAATACCAACTACTTAGGAGGCTGAGGCCTTAGGCTCACAAATTGCCTTAGCAACTTAGCAAGACTCTTGGCAATTTATTGAGACCCTGTCTTTAAAAAAAAAAAAAAAAAAAAAAAAAGGAAAAGAAAGAAAGAAAAGAAAATCTTCTGGAAGGAAAGATTTAAGGTAAAGAACTTATAACTGCTTATGGTCTAGAACAAACTTCAGAGACAGTAATCAGGGAACGTTACAGTCCAAAAGACGTCAAATCCCTGTGTTTTGTTTGAATTTGATTTAGTGCCAAATATGCAATGGGATAGACTTAGAGAAAAATATAAACTATCAGCCTTCCAGTGGGTTGATGGAGAAATCTATTTGTTAAAAAAGTTTCAAAAAGGGTTTTGCACAGGGTACAAAGGTGTGTACTTGAGTAGTCATTTTATTACAAGTGGGTTATAGTAATCACCCACAAAAACATCAAATTATCTCTGTACACCAATGACATGGAGTGATGTGTCAAGGTGCCTTTGCTCTGCTTCCAGCTCTCTAAGAAAATAAGAAGGTCTCATTCTGCAGGCATTCTGACAAACACTATGGACTTTAAGAACACCTAAAGAGCTAGATGTCAAAACAAAGCTTTCTTCTCCCTTCAGGGCTTTTCCTATCACCTTCTACAAAGATTAACCTATATTTCTAACATTAGAAAACTGCTGTGCAGGCAACTACAGAGTAGAATTCCGTGCCTTAGGCATTGGGAGCAAAATAGCAACTATCAATATGCCCACATAACTGAAGAAAAAAAAATCATGAATCTTTCTATGCAGCTGTTTCTGTAAATCACATTTTCACTTACTTCCTCTATAAATTCTAAGAATTTCATTCAAAGGTAGAAAACAAAAAGCTGGCAAATTCTGACAATCAGACTAAGGCTCAGAGGAAAGAATGTCACCACTTGAGACATGGTCAACACTCACACATTAAACTTCAGCTTTTCTCATTTAAAGTCGACACATTCTTTGACAATACTCACCTCTGTAAAGATAAATTGCATATCCAAAAGGGCAAACTGCTCCAGTCAATTAGGTAAACAACATAATTAACATGTGCCAGGTGGGGAGCAAATGCTCAATGTAAATAGTGAGACTCAAAATAAGCTACAAATGTGAAGCTATTTCAAAACTATCAGCAGATTTCTTTAACTGCTCCTCAACTTTCTCTTAAGAAAATTGAAATCTGACTTGTACAATGACAAGTTGAACCCTATTATATACAACTCCATTAGATTTTTTCATAAAGAATAAAAATACTTCTAGGTTCTTTAATGAGTTTTGGCAAATACTTCTAACAACCTCTAAACTGGGAAAAATCAATCTCTAACCTACCAAGATATTACAGAATTTAAAACCCTTTGGCTATGTAAAATAAGACTAATGGAATACTTTTACAAAAAATACTTCAAGTTTAGGTGTTAAAATTTTTTTCTGATTTTTTATAAACTCTGATTTTTTACAATGTAAATCAATCTACTCATTTCCTTCCTTTCTACAATCATATTAGTCATACTTTTCTTGAAATTTTGGCAGTATCAACAAACAGAACTACTCAAGGTAACCACACAAAGGCAGTTAAAGACCACACATCACACCAACTCTTAAGTCACATTTAATATTCAACTCAGCGCCTATTGCAAGCTATCCTGATCAAACCTAATGGTATATGTTAAAAGTGTGCCATGAAAGAACAAGCACAGCTTCTTTGTGTGTAATCACAGCAAAGAAGGTAGCTGAGCACAAGGAGAGGCAACCTCAGCATCGTGCTTGGCATCAACACTTACCTTGAGGATGTCCCCCCTTTTGAAGCTCAGCTCATCGTCTGCAGTGGCTTTGAAGTCATATTTGGCGATGGCTTCCATTCTGAGCGCTGCTCAGTGCTCAGCAGCCTGAAGCAGGGGGGAAGGGAGTCTTCCCTKCTGAAGCAACCCAGCCCTCTGGGCTCAGCCTCGCTTCTGGTCTGGGAATACTCCAGCACGCTGAGAAGCACAATGCCACCCTGAATCAGAAGAGGAACGATTGAGAAGTGGCCAGGATCCACGGCAGCCCCGCCCTGCCAATCGACCTGCAGTCCCAGCCCCCACGCCCCCTGGCTTGCAAGGTTCAGCCCTCCTCCTCCCTTCCAGGCAACAGCCCTGCTCTTCTTCTTCCTCTTTTTAGCCTCAGCCCCAGGCAACTGACAAGCCTAGCGGCCAATGGCGGCAGCTGCTTGCGCTATTCCAGAACACACTTCCTCTTCCTTCCCACTGGGTGTGCGCGCTGTGCAGGAACCGGCTGGAGTCCCGTTCAGTCTCCGCCTTTCCTCCTGCACCCCTCATACCTCTCTGGCACCCAATGCTGTCCACTGAAAGAAAGACCCCACCCTGGGGACAGCACCCCACTCTTCTTGGTTAAATAGGCCTTCTTCCCCCCTTTTTTGCCAATGCTTCAAGGCTTCCTGGGAGCACCAGCTCCCCTACTCCACAGTCAAAAGCAAGCCATGCATGCTGCGGTGGAACTGCTTTACTCTTCATGAAACTAACTCTCATCTGCTCTCAAGAAAGCGAGAGAAAGTGAAACTAGACATGCCTTTTTTAGTCCCAATTACCACCAAGAATTCTGGTGGCCTTCCCCCACCACATATGAACTAATCGGCATGCTCAGGCCACCAGAGAAAGATACTCCGGAGCGCTCTTTGTTGGTAGAGATCTGTCCTTGCTTAAGGCTCCCTTTCCCCCTGAAGATTCCCAGAACTGTGGAGTCCCCACCAGTCTTTGAACTAGATGACCAAGGTTCAGCATTCCAGAAGTAGCCTCCACATTACTTCTAATTAGCCTAAACAGCAGAGCTAAAGTCTTAATCTACACTTGAAAGGAACCCTTTTTGTGTGTGCATGGGGCTGGTGGTTACTGGGGACTGAACCCAGGGGCCCTCTGCCTCTATGACGTGGTGTCCCTAAATTACCCAGGCTGGCTTCAAACTTGTGATCCTCCTGCCTCAACAGGGATTACAGGTTTGCATTCCACGCCAAGCAAAAGGAATCCCGTTTAAAAAAAAAGAAAAAAGAAAAAAGAGCTGCCAAGCATCTAATGTGGGGAAAGAAAGTACAGGGCCTGTGTCAGAAGGTCAGACTGAAGACCCACACAGTTACAGCTTTTCTCAGAGCCAGAAAAGTACTAAACACAGTGTACCAGGCGAAGGTGAACTGGGGTCAGTGCAATCACTGCTTTAGTGGAAGAGTCTCCCACCACGAAAAGGGATACAACCTTAACCTTTGCATACCTAAAGGCAAATGAAATCCCATTCTTGTTTGCTCAGCCACTGTTTTCATACACACTAAACAAAAGCAGAAAACAACAAAGGCACTGGCAGAATGGAGACTGATTATTTACAGTGGCACCTTTCTGCTAGATAATTCCCATCTAGCAGCTCACGTGAGGGGTAGAAGAGATTATTCTTTTATCCTAAAGCTAATCATTGGGGCATTAATCAAATATAGCTTCAAAGGACTAAGCAGGAAACCAGATGGAAATATTCAGCTCAGACAGAGGATTAAAGAAATCACCTGGTAAAAAGTCTTTCAGGCTAATTCTGAAAGCCAAACATTCTGCTGCAGGTAACTAATAAACCAAACCACTACCTTCCAGGTCATACCTAAGACATTCTATGTGGTGCTGGCTCTAAAAGAGTAAAGAAAAGCTACAGCAAACATAAATATTTTAAAAATACTAAGATTTTTGTGTATCTAAATGCCCTTCACTTACACTCTATAGTTATTTTTATCACATTAGTCCATATATAATTTTTTTAAAGAAAGAATTTTTTAATATTTATTTTTTGGTTTTCGGTGGACACAACATCTTTATTTTATTTTTTTATGTGGTGCTGAGGATCGAAGTCAGAGCATGCCAGGCAAGCGCACTACCGCTTGAGCCACATCCCCAGCCCTCCATATATAATTTTAAAAGYCAGAGTATATCTTCCATTGCCTACTTATTTTAACAGGTCCTCAGGGCTAATTAAGGAGCCTATATGCATCAATGATGGAAAGCTGAAGAAGAATGGAACAAATCTGAAAAAACAAGTTTTATTTTTTAAAACAGAAACCACACAAATCAAAGCACTGTCACTGTCAAGGTACCATGTAACATAGGGCATAAACTTTTACCTGCATCATAGTTGAATAGCAGGAACATAAAAAACAAGATGGTTCTCAACACCCACCTACTCAATTCATCTGCCACAGGTTACTGAGTGAAAGCTTTGAAAGACTAACACTCCTCAAAAGTATAATTATTCAAGTAATCACTCAAGTAAATTGTTTTGTGAAACAGTTCATAGAAAATTAATACTTACAAGGCTGTGCCAAATAAAATTTAGCATCGCATTTACAAAACTTGGAAAGGTCAGCTTATTAGGGTATCCAAAGAAAAGGAATTCTATCCCATACATAACACTAATGTCTAAAAGTAACAAATCTGAAGGAAGACACAATTTTTTAAATAAATTTCCCCCTTTTGCGGTATGACGCGAATTGAACCCAAGACATTAAGCATGCACTCTACCACTGAGCTAAACCCTAACCTCTGCACAGATGGTGCTGTTCTCCCCAAGAAAATGAAGTAGCAATACGCTTAACACTGTCACCTGATCAGAGCATCTCTAAACTGTCTAAACTGTTAGCACACACTCTACAGCTCATTACACTCAGTGATTTTTTTTTTTTTTTTTTTTTTTTGGATACTGGGGATTGAACTCAGGGCCTCATACATTTTCATTTTTTACTCTGAGGCAGGGTCTTACAAAGTCTCCCAGGCTAGTAGCCTCCCAAGGAGCTAGAATTACGGGCATGCACCACACCAGGCATTCACGGAATTTAAATAAAGTATAACTAATTGTTCAAAGGATGTGCCCTATATCTGAAAACGCAGTTCCCTAAAATGCAGTATCCTATTGTCTTTCTTCTGTTTATTTCTCTTCTTCCCCAAATTCACAGAAAATATATCACAATGGGACAGTATAKTGTTGAGTTTGCATAGTCTGTCCAGAGGCAGGCTAACTGTTATTCATTTAAGTAATGACCCTGCCAATCATAGCAATAACTTAGGAAAGCCTTTTAAATAAGTTTGTTTTCTAATCTGTAAAATGGGATAATAGCTGCCTTTAAGATTCACTGAGCATTAAATTAGATAACATATGCAAAGTGCTTTGGTCAGAGCCTAATGTATAACACCACTCAATACAAGCTAAAAATGTTACTTTAAAACACATAAATGGAAATGCAATGTGCTGGGGATATACTCAGTGGTAGAACATTTGCCTAGCTTACTCAAGGCCCTATGTTTGATTCCCAGCACTACCCCCTAAAAAAAAAAAAAAAAAAAGGAAATGTAAATTAAAACAAATTAAATTTCATGTATGAGTCAGTTTTTTTTTTTTTTTTTTTTGTACTGGGTCTTAAATTTAGGGATGCTCTACCACTGAGCAGCATCCCAAAACCTTTTTATTTTGAGAGAGTCTAA